AAAAAAATGGCACGGCTGTGAGAGCCGTATAATAACAGTGGGACGCAAATTGGTGCGGCTCTGAGGGCCGTAGAGTCCGAATAAAGTTTATGCGGGTTCCGAATATTATTACTCATATATTAGAGGGCCCCCGAAATCTTCCTGACCGTTCGTGACGTGACCCAAAACTCACCACTAGTTGAGTGGCTGTTGTGCTAACGTGCATCTCTGACACCAAAGTCCGAAGCTCGCTCATCGCCCAGTATCGCGACGATGAAGTCATTCTGTTGCCTTTCAAGCTTTCTCCGGTCTCTCAAAAAGGCCCACATATTCGACTGATGACTTCAAAGGGGTGCTATAGCTCCGACGCGCCCTTCGATTTGTTGTTTGAGATCCTCTTCAAGACTCATCGACATGCGTGATTGACCTCTGACTCTTAGATTCAACGAGAATCTTAGCGTTGGCGCGGTCATCGTGCAGCCGAGTGTGCGCGCACCATCTTTGCGAAGTGAGACCGATCAAACCACAGCGATCGTGATTCAAGAATCACGTCGTCGAGGCTGGGTCGCGATCGAGGCGGAGCATGAGACAAAAAGGCGGCCATGTGGAGGATTTGCGAGTAGACAGATCTCTTTAAAATTCAAGACGCAAGATTGTGACCCAACTTTGAGGCACTTGTAAATTCAGATCCACCACGCACGATGAGTGATCAGTGGCTGGAGCTTGACCTCGTATATAGGCATTTATAGTCTTTGAGTGTCACGGGATGGCGCATCCGCTTAAGTGTACGATCAGAATCGCCAATAACCTCGGCCTGATCATAGTCATCTAGTATATGAGCTGCACGTAGCCGTCGCGAACGTTGATTCAGCCTGAATCTAAAGGGTCCGGATTGTATATATATAGGTTACGCTTTGCCGCGCAAGCCAAGAGCTTGTGTACCGCCAACTCTGCACTTCTGTAGCGTACGTGCCTTAGACGTCCTCACACCAAGCGCGAACTCAACTCGTGATGCTCATCAGAAGAAGATGTGATCGAGCAGACCTCAGCTGAATACCTTATGTGTGCGGCATACTCAGCCAGATGAGTGTGCAGGCAGACGGCGTTGTGAACCACTCGGACTGAAGCGAGAGAGCGACGTGGCAACTCGCGCAGGATGCATCTTGATTTGATTGCCAAGAACGGCACACGCCGACACTCATGACTGTACTTGCTCTCTCACGTTCGCCAC